TAAAGAGACAACCCTTTGGTTGCAACAATCGTGATCTCTTAGTGAGGGTTAGGCTTTATAATAGAGTAGGTAAATAAGAAAGGTTGTGCTGAATAAAAATCAATAAAAGTTAAAGACATAAATACTCTATTTAATCATAGTTTAGTATACATAACTATTCAGTTAACATCATAATCTCTTTTGAAAACATATATATATATAACCTTTTAAATAATATATACAAAGGCGCATAATTAAAAACTAAGGTTGTGAACGGTTATGTATAATTATAAGGTATGTAAAACTGTATTACTGTATTGTAAGGTAATACTATATAAACATATTGTCCATTGTTAACGTTTGTCCATTGTCATTTGCTGTATTTTCTTTAGTGAGGGTATATCTTATGATTACTGAAAGCTTTTTTAATTGTGCAGTAAAAACCATCAGAAATTACCTAAGGACATACAGGGTTTGTAAGATTTAATCAAATCTGTGTAAATGGAAAAAGTTAATTGATTTATAAAATATAGTACTCTTGCTGTTTTTTACTTGTAAATTATTATTAGTAGTACCAGTGTTATTGTTATTCATATATCAAGTAGGCTTCTCCCAGCCCTTGGCAAAGCTGAAAATATTATGTCTTGTCTATATATAGCTACCTCCCAACCTGTTCTTCCACTTTGTTTCTATTTCTTTTTCTCGCTTTCTTTTTCTTTTCTTTAAACGTCTTTAATTCTTTCTACATGCTATTTGTCTGTCCAGCCAATAAAGTGCAATATACATTCATGTAAATCTGATCTTATTTATCACTGCAGGTATACAATAGATAATTTATTGTTTATTTTTTTTGTTACTGCATATGCTTCCTCAACTTTATGTGTATGATGTCAGGATGTGAGAGTCATGTGACATGTGGAAGGTGATCTTGTTTTCTTTATAATAACAGTGAGGATGATGATCACATGTACATGATGCAAGTATTTATGGTAATGACCAGTGTTGATTTGTATTTTTTCTCTGTATGATTATAACGATACAATGATATTGCTTTGATGATGATGATGATGAGATGATGATGATAATGATGATAATGAGATGATGATGATGAGATGATGATGATGATGATAATGATGATGATGAGAGGATGATGATAATGATGATGATGCATTGTATGAAATATGATGAGATGTTGTTTTGTATTAAAAAAAAGTGATGACGAAGGTGATGAGAATGATGATGAGGATGGTGCATGTCTGTGAAATGTGATGGTAATGAGGCTATTGTTTATGATGGATAATGCTTGATGAATGATGATTATGATAATTGCTAATTTGATGAAGATGTATATATTGCACATTAAAATGAAAATAAAAATCAAATTAAAAAAAAAAATCTGTGTTAAGAACACACCATTTGGTTACTGTACATGTGGTTTCTTGGTGTGGAGTGGTTTTTATAAAAGAGTAGGGTTGTCATCGGCTAGTCGGTTAACAGGTAACTCGGTCGAAAGACCACGAAACGGTTACCAAAATCAATAACTGAGTAGTCGAAAATGTTCTTAACCCTTTCGGAAGCCCCATGTTTCCCTGTCTTAGATCTGCAAATTATCTATAGATGCGACCAAAATCGGATTTTGTTTTCAGGGTTCAGGGAAAACATGTTAGTGTTGTTTTTGTACTCTATTGTAACTTTTGACAAAGAGATGTCGGCAACACCATAAACAATCTTAGAGATAGAACGCGCTTTTACATGCGAGATGTGAATATGATCTGAAGAGTACACACTGTCTGAGCATGCATGTCTTAAAACGTTTGTCGATCAAATTTTGTTTTAAAAAACAATTATCTGCGATAATGTATAAAGTTTTTATAAATTCCGTCATCAGAGGTACGAAGCGGTCCTATGCCAACTAATGGAGCAAAATCAAAAGTGCTAATCTGTAAGATTGCATATAATTCACGCCTCATATGAGTAAAATGTTATTAAAATAATGCATAATTGTTGAAAAAACAAATCCTTACTAATAAAAAAACGCTTTCACGAAATTAGCCAAGTCCGTCTTGGGGAAAAAATAGAAACAAACACTATGAAAGATCACGCGTGATGTTATCTCAATTATCCTTTCTATATGACCAGCATAAGTATAAATACTGATGCCGTCATGTTTACTACAATTTCCATATTGGGTCATGACACCCATACAATGTATATAGACGTCTGACCTATATCGGAAGAGAGACGAAATTTCCAACATGGCGGTCAATTCAGATTTCGATTCCCCTTGCGACATTAACTTGATAATTTAACGACATCTTAGGCAGAGTTTAACTTTAAGTTATATAGGGTATCAACATAAAAAGTTCATATTACAACTCTTTTTATGGATGCGGACCAATGTGCTATCAATTAATTCTAAAATCTTCTCCGTTACAAGGCATGGGATCGATTTGATACCTGGCCGGGACAAAGGAGGCCGGGTATTAATATTAGTACTGAAGAACAATGTAACCGCATATGATGTCGAGTACAGACAACTGTAATTGAATCCCGTCTTACTGCATTCCGACATTTGTTGTCCATGAAATAAACTTACTGAGGTTACATGCAGCTGTTTCCTGCGTTTAGCTTGAAATACACGAATAAACTGTCCTGCTAATTAATATATACATGTATGTTTGTGGAGTAAATACGTTTAGATAGTTTATTTAATGTGTTTGTTGCTGTTTATTATTTGTTTACCGAAGAAGTGACCGATTAATCGGTTACTGGCTCGGAAGATTGTTCGGGTAACCTATTACCACAATATGACTGGTTTGACAAACCTATAAAAAAGTAAATATTGAATTTCATGTTGAATAACAAATCAACAAAAGTTTAAAGTGTCAACTCTACATTTTTTTAAATCATAGATGTGTGCATATCACATTTTAGTTGACATCATAATCTCCTAAGAAATATCTATATTATGATTTTTAAAGAAGATTATTATATACAAATTCAGCACAATTATAATATGCACTACAATGTATAAGAAGTACGACTTAAGTTTAAAACAATAAAAAGCTCAATTTTGAAAAATAGATTTATTATCATTGCCAAGAATACCTCTGAGAGAATAAACTGATTTTGTCCCTACTGAAAATATTTCGGTCACAACTTGGAATCAGTTGAGATTCCCAACCCGTTACCGTATATACAATCGCTAAGCATATAGAGACTAATATATTAATGCTTTAAGCGTCGACCCACGGGTATTGTCATATGCCTAGGGACTTATTTCCTGGGTCATAACTTTGAAACAGTTGATATCCCCATCCTTTAACCATTTTAACAATTGCAGGGATGAATACAACTCTGCTACCAGGATCGGCCTTGGGGACTGCTCCCCCGTCGATAATTACTCGCTGGTTCATCACTTGCAAACATTTAAGATCCCCACCCTATTACAAAACAATTGCCAAGCATGAATATTTGAATACACATATCGTACCAGGATTGCCCAAAGGGACTGACCGTATCTCTAGGATTCCATTTGCCATACTATACTTAAATCGAGAATCGTTTGCCATGATTCCTTCAATATCCTGCTGAACAATAAAGTCATAGGGGCCTCTTGTGTGTGTTTTAAAATTGTCACGTCACGCTCCTTAAGATATTATACATAACAATGTTGACAAAATCACAGGGGCCAGACATGATTACTTTAGATAATATCACTAAGATCACAGGGGCCAGACATTAATGCTTTTGGTAATGTCACTAGGATCACAGGGGCTAGACAGTATTACTTTTGGTTTTATCACTATGACCACAGGTACCAGACATTATTTTATTTCAGAATATTTTATTGTACTGATCTTATGTACAAAAGGAATTGGGCAACAGGCATAGCCTATATAAGCCCTCTCTTTACAAAAAATAACAGTATATACACATCATATAAACGGTACTTTTACATAAGTTTCTTTAAGTATCAAAATAAGAAATTATTTGTACTTTGAATTTGATTGGACAATACGTATTTCAATCATCACAATTGTTGTAAGGGAGATTATTTTACAAAACTATTTGAGAATCTAATAAAAACGTCTGGTGTCTCTAATGTAATTCTGAATCACTTTTGGTAATATCACTATGACCAAAGGGGCCCGACATTATGGCATTTGGTAATATCACTAAGAGCACGGGGGTCAGTTAAGTTTACTTTTATTTTATTTAACATCCTATTAACAGCTAATGTTATTTAAGGACGTGCCTCCATGTGTGTTGTGAAAGGGAGCATGCGTGCATGTGTGCCGGAGACAGGGTATGTTCGTATTACGTGCCTGCGCGGATCTGATGCAGACTTTAAAGTGCTATCCCACTGGAACACTATGCCAAAGACACCTAACACAGCATTTAACCTGGTCACATTATGCTGACAACGGGTTGTCATTCCCCTTAATGCTGAACGTTAGGCAGAATATAACAACTACCATTTTTAGAGTCACAGGGGCCAGATATTGCAACTTTTGGTAAGATCACAGGGACTAGGCATTGTTTACTTTTGTAATATCACTAAGATCACAGGAGCCAGACATTTCAAAACATATCCACGCTACAAAATTTGTTAAACACCATAATTGCCACAATAATGACACCACAATTTTGCAGTACAACACTATTTTTACAAACGTCTTTCAGCTGCAATATACACAAAATAAAATAAACGACTTTAAAAAAGGAAGATTATTCAGTGTAAATAAGGTTTTCCATTGTAATACAACTCAATTGTCAAACTATTCGTGTTTGCAGGACTTATGCGATAGTTACATTATAAGAATTACAGTTTTGAGACATTTTCATTATAACAAATGTAATATACACATTATCAATGGGTACCGAGGTTTCGCTTCTCGGGTAAAAAAAGACATTATCTTTTGATGAGGTTTATTACGTAATCCTGTCGTTTTCTATCATTCTATCAGTGTTAGTTATCATGGTATAACTAGATATATACATTGTAGTCTGTCTAGATGTCACATGCTGCTGTACTGTAGTAGTTTGAACTCCCTATACCCAAATACTGCCCACAGGACATCCTCCCTGTCAACACGAACAGCCTGTGTAATGTAGTAGTCGTCTGTGTGTATGATCCTAAGGAACTCACCACACCCACTGATGAGTAGGACACGCTTTTTGTAATAGTCCCTTATGACTAGGTTACCCACACTATCATACACAACATCCAAAGATTTAAACGGTTCATTTTCTGATTTTGAGACTTCACCATCATATATAAATAGTTCATTGAAATCTGTGTCCATGACAACAACATGTGATTTCCATTCATCATCATTATTATCATCTCCTTCATCTTCTTTCTCCTCCTCCTCCTCCTCCTCCTCCTCTTCTTCTTCTTCCTCTTCTTCCTCCTCCTCCTCCTCCTCCTCCTCTGCAATACCCAACTCAGCCACTGCGACATTGTGAGTGACAGGACACTCTGAGATCCTGTATGGTGTGCACACTAATGGCTTCCCAGTCTTTGAAGCTGATGAAGTAAGTACCAGTTTACCATTTGTGATAAATTTTGAGATGTGTTTGTCCATCCCCACAATGACATGGTTACTAGCTGTGATACAGATACACCGTGGTTCCTCCCTGGTGCTGAATCTGTATACTAGTCGTCCTGACACGAGCTCTGTGATGTTGTTTTCCTTGTCACAGATCTACAGTGTGTTGGTTGTAGGTGACAGACTTATGTCTGTGATCCCAGTATTGTGTTTAACCTCCTGTATTGCTTTCCCCTTCCTGTTCAGAAGAGTTAAGGTGTCACTATAAGTGGTCCACACCTGACCATTAGTGGTGGGACATACAGAAATAATATTACATGGAGACTGCCACTCCTCCAACACTTTGGTTTGAGACAACAGGGTATATACTGGACTGGACACGTCCTCTCTTTCTCCTGAGCTCTGTTGTGAACTTGGTCTCCTAACTTTACGTTCTGACGACTTCTGTGTAGAGGAATGACCATGTCCAGAAAATGACTGATCGGGGCAAACAGAGACTTGACCCTGACCTTTATTTGAAGTGTCCACTTTTCCCAAGGCTTGTTCAATGTGACCCTTAGGATTTTGGTTTGAAGTGAAGCTAGCCGTACCCAGGGTAGGTTTTACAGGGAGAGTGACAGGAGAATGAATCTCAAATCCTGCGTCGTAGATTTGTATGTCAGTGCCACGCTGAAGTGCTATCTTACATTCTTGTACTTGTTGTTTAAGCTGTATGCTGTACATTTCCAGATCGTGTTTGTAGGTTTGTAGTAGCTTGGTGTTATCCTCCTCCATTTGCTGATAGAGACACGTAGTCTGTGCTGAAAGCTGGCAAAGATCTTGTATAATTTTCATTGTTTGTTTCTTCAACTGTTGGGAAAGTTTTTCAAAGTTGCTGGCATTGTCCTTTAAATGTGTATCAGTATCAGTGATGTACTGGTCAATTTGTACGAGGTCAGCATTCTCGGTTTTGTCGATGAAGTTTTGAATCTCTTGATTCTTTTTTGGAGTAATTTCACTAAGGTCACACAAAGGATGTTTCTTATGTACAGTTGACAGGCATTTGATACAAGCAAGCTCTTGGCATTCTTCACAGTAAATGTCCAGTTTTCTATCCTTGTGGTACATACACGTTGTTTGACCTTTGATACGGGAAGGAAGCTGCCCTTTGTACTGGGGCGTGGCCATTTTAGTAACGAGATATAAAACTTTCGAGGATAATGGACTTTAGAAAATTGAATTCACAGTAAAGCAGTTTGTTTGACTTCGGAAAATGAAATCCACGTAGATCCCTCAGGTTCACTAATCAGTAGTGGTTCGCCTGTTCCTGTCTGAATGAATGTGTTGGAGAATATGTTTAAAAATATCATGGGAAAACATAAGTTACCATCATCGCTCACCTTGTTTCCAATGTCAGGCAGTCGGCATACAATGACAATGTTTAACGTCTATGTCAAACCATAAATTGTTATTTCGAAATGTCTTGATACTAAAAGTGACGCCTTTATTATATAACCGGCCAAATTATTGAATGACATAAAATCGATCCAGCCCTCCATGCGCATGACTGTTTTAGTTATCTATACAGGTGTGACTTATAGCTCAGTATGTAACTCTGCAAGTAAATACCTTCCCGGTTAAGCGACGTTGCCGAAAACCTGCAAAATTGACCTACTGATATAAGTTCAAAGTCCGTTTATTTTTATCAAATATACGGTCTGGTAGCAGCGTAGACTTTGCCGTAGGTTTGTGATGTGTAGTTTATGAAATTGTTTCTCTGCAAACAACACTGTTCAATAAATGATCATATATCTTAACAATTTCCATTTTTTTATTTATGATATGCATGATTAATATGTTCGACGGTCGTTCCCTGTTTGATTGATCTCCCTTTAATTTTGTTTTAGATATAACTCTATATGTGTAAATATTTTGTATAATAGCACATCATATATGAATCCCCAAGTATTAAATAATATGTAGCATATATAGTGTGCATTGTCAATTAATTTAACGAAAAAACAAATCACTAAAAAAAAGACTCCTCGTTGGTTTTACTTTTACTACCAGATTTCATAATGTATCCTTGCGTAGAGTCAATGGATTTATCGAAACACCAAAATAAACACAAGTTGACCACTTTTACAATTATAATATTTTGAAATAATTTAAATAGCTTGTACAATTATAATATTTTGAAATAATTTAATTAGCAGTAAAATTTGAAATCCGAACCCCTGTACCTGCTACATATTAAAAAGAAGTAGGAACTAATGTGATGCAGCGGTACCCTGACATGTAATGGATTAAAAAACAACATTAATATCACTTCAGACATTGTAAGTTTGACGGCGATGCGTACTGTGGCAGGTAGGCGGGGTTTTACTTGTCGTCCATCCTCTCCCTATTTTAAATCACTGCAGTCTCATATGTGGTAAGTCATGGATCAATGCAAAGACTTGATTAGTTTACAGTGCACTTTAGAAAATTGTCTCATCTCACCAATTTGCCATTTTAAAGCGAAAAAGGTTTTAAAGAACGTCACAGGATGATCTAAGGTTTTCGTTTCACTTTCACATGTTAACTTCTTGATCACAATTAAAGTATCGTACGTTAATCTGAGGGTTCATATCAATCAGTATTACGCTATGTATAATCTACGTCTTATTATACTGTGTTTTCTAAATGTATATGTTTGTTAATGTTCATACTCCCATAAAGTTATTATGGCAATTGAATTGAATTTTAAATTATATTTCATTTTCATATATTGTAAGTAAAAAAATAGACGATTATTATAAAAAAAAATGACATTACATTCAATTGCTCATATTATAAAAAAAATAAAGTTATACGAAAGGACAATGTATACAAATATCGGTCACCAAATGTCATAGGTACTATGTTAAGAATATCCATATGGAATGCCTTTAAATAATTATATCACTTGTCAATATATCTTCTGCAGTACATGTGTCAACACTGGAGCATTTAAACAGGTATTTAACTGACCTTTTACTTTTATTGAAAACTGCCAGGGTGAGAGGGTAATGGGCACATATATTATCAGCACGGCGCTCAGGCTTCACATTATGAAATACATTTCTGCTTTGATACAACAACTGAAAAATGTGGTTTGTGTTTCATATATATAACACTAGTTGTCACTGACAGATGGCCAAGTAGTGCATGATACGACTGTAATATCTACAATCACCACTTAGTTGTAGCGTCCAAACGTGACAGTTTTGGGGTTTTGACTTGATAACGTATGCATATTAATGTGACGTCACAAAAACTCCTATTGAAGAGAGTGCCGTGGACGTCAACCACGTGTGTAACCGAAGACCCATATGAAGTATACATGGGGAAGGAGGCCGGTACCATGGCGTCCACCGTAATTTTGAGGCGTGGCATAGTGACATATACATATGAATGAAGTATGACGTCACGG